TATATATATATATATATATATATATATATATATATGTATATAATATCGTCTTGTGCAAATGGCATGCGTCTAATAAAAACATCATTGATGGGCAAATATTTGTTGATCAATTAAACAAAATAAGAATCCGCTCCGCATACGACAACACGCATCTAGCAGATGTACAGTACTAAAGATAAGTGTCTTGCCAATACAGACGTCAGTAGGGATGTACTGGTAAACACTCAGGGGTGAGATGCATGTACCGGCTGTCTACACTGTAGACATGCATGCATGCCTTCTATAATACGCGTCTGGTATGTCTGACACATAAACTCACGCAGCGAAAGCATGCCCCCCCCCTCCCCGCAAGCACGCATATACTTCGTCTAGGGCTTACTCTCACAGTAGCATGATGTATATACTAAGTTTCTGTAGATGGGGCAGATTCAGAAGGGTACAGGGGCCAGGACTCAGGGCCGTAGGCTGAGCAAATTCCTAGGGGGGGGGCAAAATTTCATGACTCAACTCTGTAATGATGAGCGACGGGCGTAGCTCATGATCGACGTCCATAGTGTGGTAGGGGTGGGTCTGAGACAAGGCTTTCACGGAAAAGTGACCAAAAAAATTACGTTTGGACCATCTACCCTATTATCACTTCTGGCGCCAAAACATTGTTTCAGTGGAAATAGAATAAAGTATAGTTCAAAATATAAATTTAAGAATGTATAGCCCGAATACATCGGATTGCTATTGTATTTCTGCTAAGCAAAATCAACGAAGGACACTCATGGCCAACCTCCCTCCGCCCTGCATTCATCAGACATTTCTCCTCCAGATTGTCTAGACACTATTGTATAATGTAATACGATACTAGTTCATGGCGTTGCTTTACAAAATATGTCAACTGTCCTTTAAAGATTTATCAAATGAACCAGAAAGTAATAATGGAAGAGGAGGTTAGAGTTAGACATTCGGCGAAACGATTATATGCTGACTAATCTTTCAAATTACGGACGTCATTGGCTCGTCTGTTGCTTTTTTTGTTGACATCTCTCCAAAACTTACGGGTGAGTGACCTGAACGACGTTCAAGGCAGCGTCTATCTGACACACACACCAATCTATGGGGTTTGATGACGCTGCGTTAGAGCCATACTATACATGCACACACATGGCATCTTAGAATGGGGAGGAGATGTAGTAGTAGGAGGAGGAGGAGGAGGAGGGAGGAGGAGGAGGAGGAGGGGAAAGCAGCAGCAGCCAGCAGCAGCAGCAGCAGCAGCAGCAGTAGTAGTAGTAGTAGTAGTAGTAGCAGCAGCAGTAGTAGTAGTAGTAGTAGTAGTAGTAGTAGTAGTAGTAGTCTAGTAGTAGTAGTAGTAGTAGTAGTAGTATAGTAGTAGTAGAGTAGTAGTAGTAGTAGTAATAGTAGGAGTAGTAGTAGTAGTAGTAGTAGTAGTAGTAGTAGTAGTAGTAGTATAGTAGTAGTAGTATTAGTATTAGTAGTAGTAGTAGTAGTAGTATAGTAGTTAGTAGTAGAGTAGTAGTAGTAGTAGTAGTAGTAGCAGCAGCAGCGCCAGCAGAAGCAGCAGGAGCAGTAGCAGCAGCAACAGCATATAAGACTAGCAATCGGATTCATCTGTCCCTGCGACACATAAAGCATGTTGAAGCACAACGTAGGGTACTGCATGATAAGTTATGGCATGTTTTTTGTTTCATAATTCGATTTTGTTAATCGTTCGATTCGTTTAATGTTTTGTTCAATGTATATATGGGCTAAAATCACATATGCATGTTTAAATGTTACCTTTGATATTTTTTCTTTAAATTCGATTCACATCGAAGACATTCATATTAGCAGATCGCATTATTTAATCACGCGAATCTAATGGCTTGCATGACTGGATCGAAAGCTTCAATTCACGCATCGAATGTTTCGATTACCGATCGAACTCTCGTTCACTGATCTTATGCTTCAATTCACGGATCGAATGCTACGATTCACGGATCGAATGCTTCGATTCACGGATCGAATAATGCGATTCAGAGTCACATGGTTCGATGCGTGCGTGCAGGAGGGATATACATAATACAGGATCGAATGGTTCGATTCGCAGATCGAATGATTCGATTCCAAATCGACCGATTCTATTCCATAATTGAATGGTTTGATTCCAAAACCGAATGGTTTGATGCCAAGATCGAATAGGTTGATTCTTCTTTTTGATATAAAATCAAATAATGTAAACATTTCAAACAGTAAATGCCTAATACAATCGGATTAACAGGCAGGTATCAAATGATGCAATTATACTTTTGACCGGGAATTATTGTCGATGTATTGCATATAACATATGATTAAATAATCAAATATTATATGCGATAAATCAAATGTTATATCCAATAAATCAAATGTTATATGTGATAAATCGAATGTTATATGTGATAAATCGAATGTTATATGTGATAAATCGAATGTTATAACTTATATGTGATATATCGAATGTTATATGTGATAAATTGAATGTTATAACTTATATGTGATATATCGAATGTTATATGTGATAAATTGAATGTTATATGTGATAAATCGAATGTTATATAAAATCAACCATAAAACAAAAAATCGAATTAAGAAACAAAAAACATGCCATAGCAGGCCCGTAGCCAGGGGGGGTTCGGGGGGTTCGAACGAACCCCTCCTCCGAGCCCCCCAAGCAAAATATTTTTTTTTTAAATTCGCTCCATTTTAGTGTAAGAATTGCAAAATCTCCATCGTGCGGGAGGGTAAACAGTGAATACCCCCCTCCCACACCCTCCCCCGCTCGATCGCTTGGCTCCCTCGCCTGTCGCTTCGCGCCCGAGCAGTGGCGTGTACAGGGGGGGTCCAGGGAGTCCGGACCCCACCTTGCTCGCGCAGAAAACGCATCTGAGGAGGTCTAATTAAAAAAATTTTACTCCCTCCCCCAGACCCCCCCTTCGCGCGCTTGCAATTTTGGGTTACGGTTAGACCCACCCCTGGTACAAATCCTGTACACGCCCCTGCCGGAACAAATTGCCTACAGTGTTCACAAAACTCATTTTTGTCAAGTTTATAGGTACAAAAATGCCTGTCCTGCATGGCGCCCCGTAGTATTTGTGTTACGTGTTTGCAAACAAGTAAGTGCTCTAGCTGACTGTCTAGTATCGGAATCCTAGGTGCCCATAGCAACGTTGTCGCATATAGTAATGTCCGGTTCTTTCTCGCCCCAGTGTACATTGATGCAAATTGACAATTGAGAAGATTGCGATTGTAGTTCCGCAGCTGTTAATTTCTAATGAGGCAATTGCATAACTATACATGCATTTACGCAACATCCTGGAGGGAAGATAGAGAAATGAGGAGAAACATGAGAGAATAAAGAGGAGGGGCAGTAAAATACCATCCGTGGATCTAGCGCAGGTAATATTAATTCCAGAACGTGTAAATTGTTAATGTATTTTATCGATAGAAAACTAATCTGATCACACCGTCTCTCATACGCCTACTGTAGTTTAGCATGCGCCGGTACGATATGATATGTAAACCAGGTTAAAATAACTCAATGCTGCTCGGCGCAGTAGCTGGTAGAAATCTGGGGCAGATGAGAGTAAGCCACTGGTGTATACTGCCAGTACAAGTAAGTACTGGTTTAAGTTATTTCTCGCATCAAGACGCGCGTAAGTTATGGCTACCAGAAGACCGTCTAGAACGATGAATGCGATAGAGATGTTAAACTATTATAACATTCCCTTTATAGCTGTAAATTGTAACGGAATCACCCTGTAGTTATATACAGTAGGTGCCCAGCGTCCAGATGTGTCATATGGGTGAGAGAAAGGAAACAACGTTAGCACGCGTACCATGATGCCTGTTTTAGAAACTCGAGTGGAATAATTCGTGTTTCGGGCGCTGTATAATGGGTCGTCGATATGAGCTGGTGCAGAGGTTGGATAAGTGAGAAATATCAGCGAAGAATAGCTAAGCAAACTCGAATGGCTTGCTTACATATAAAACATATAACACCGCGCTCTAAATATAAGATTAAAATCTGCTAAAGCTAAAGATCAAATAAATCAAATAAAGCTAAGATCGTTGAATAAGTGAGATCGAAAGCAGGAGAGGGAGTGAGAAAGAGAAAGAGAAAGAATTATATATTGATAGCGCGCGAGTGCGCCTGCGCACGCACGAATGAGTGCGCGTGCGTGGGAGAATGAAAGACATCACGCACGCGCGCATGCACGCACACACCGGGAGAAGAGAGAGAGAGAGAGAGAGAGAGAGAGAGAGAGAGAGAGAGAGAGAGAGAGAGAGAGAGAGAGAGAGAGAGAGAGAGAGAGAGAGAGAGAGAAGATTGGATAGCCCTTTATTCTAACCTCTTAGACTATATCCGGCCTCGATCCATACATAAAGATTTATTTCAACCAAAATACAGCATCCAAGATGCAACGTTATATCCCTGCGTACGTCAAAACAATTATTTATTACTACCAGCAATGAACTGATTAATAGCAGGGCTCATGCACAGTTGAAACGCTTACCTGCCAACTGCAGTGCAGCGAAGGCGGTAACGGTCCCTACAGAATTGCTACATGTGCACGTGTACGTTCCAAGATCCGACTTTGCGACGTTGGATATTTCGAGGAAGTGAGAATTGATATCGTCGTTAAAAACGCGGAAGCGTCCGCCATTTCTTATCGTCGAACCGTCTATATCCCACGCAACGGATAGTTTTGGGGTCCCGCTCACACTGCAAACAGTTAATTCTATATTAGATACAAATTTGTAGTTCAAACTGTTGTACGCAACAGTTGTACTAACCAACAAGCTTCTTGTAAAATATAACCTTATATAATACAAATAGACAAAACAGGACCGAAATGAAAATAGTAGCTGTTCGATTGTTATTTCATGTTCATGAGAAGAACTCGGCAAACGACGTGGCGCATATGAATCAAAAAAGCAATAGATTTGTAATGAATATAATCTAACCTTACCGAATCTAAACAAGCAGTGACTGACTAATATTAAACTAAAATATAACTAAATATAACTAAATATAAATTGTAACTCTGCTTCGCTAATAAAATTGGTCACGGGCTGACCGAATGCTAAACTCGTATCGATTCTAATTCGACACACTCAACATTGTAGCGAGGGTCACGCGTTGACTAACAAGTTATCAACAGCTATGCAAAGAACACCGCCGCGATGCTATAATGCTATAGGGTTTAAAGTATAAGTACCTAGACTGAACACGACTGCAATGTCAGCACTGACTTGCAAGCGTAGATATCGAATTGATTTTCAACTGTTACGTGCTCCCCAGACTCACTGCGTAACCCTACAACACGCTGAGATATTTCCCATGCGTATTCGTATTTTTAACAACTGTGCCATATTTCCTATATTCAATTATATAGTTGACTATACGTTCAAATATATAGAAACGTGGCTCCTTTTCAAATTTACGACGAATCGTGACGGCTTGCCACGCGAATATCTCCGCGTCGCATTCTACTTGTTATGGTTAATAAGAGGAGTTTTTTGGTCTTACCGGTGCGCATGCATGCACTCCTATAATAATCACTAGGATGGCTAGAATGTAAGTTACCTGCATTGAAACCTTGCCGTTTTGCCGAGCTCGACCATGGTGGTGCGAGGTCGAATGACGAACTGTGGTGCTTCATTTTCTTTCTCTTCTTCATCTGTAATAACAAGTACACGTAGTTCCTCTTATATATACATTCAGATATGCATTAACAGTGGTATTGGTAATGTTATACTGGTGCATTTATATAGGGCTAACTCCGATATAGATATAGTTATAACACGTTATTGTTTAATTGGTAAAATACCATGTCACTGCAATTATTTGTCTAATTACACAAAGGCGCATGGCTAGTCTTATTTCAATTTACCGCCAGCGAATACAATAGCGGGGACGCTCAAAATACTGCAATCTAGAAGCTGATATTGATATTATCAAGAGTACAAAATAGAGACTATTATAGACTATTAGAGACTATATAGAGAATCTCTATTATGTACTCTTGATATTATGCCAGATAAGGCGGGAGTGATGTATAAATCACTCGTGCCGTGAACCACACACTGAAAGGGTGAGAAATGGCCTTTCTGCAATAGTCGGTGATCACCCACGAAAGGAATGCATGTAAGATACTTAGAGGCTCCATAACTTAGATAGACACAGAACGCTTCAAGTGAGCAAAAATGGTGAAACGCGCTCAACAGACGACGTTGGTCTAGACGGATGAAGCGAAAACCACCATCCCTCTTACTTTCGTAATAAAGCAAACTCTCGGAAGTTCTGGGTTGAATGTTCTGATGTTGACTGTTGAATTACAATATCCCAGTTGCAATCAATTTACTTCAATTCAGTTGAAAGGTGTCAACTATCTAAAGGAAAACCCACGAGGAAAAGTACGCTTTTTTTATTGTTTTGTACACTGTTATGTCATTGATAGACATGGTAAATTTTAGGCGTAACACTACTTGCATTATATTTACTTTGCTGACGTGCGAATTTGACAAATTCACATAACTCGTTCGGCAGGGAAGATGTTTATCAATGATTCCCTGAAGTAGTGCGAGCGATGACCGTAGCGAAGCAATGAGAAAATTACAGATATTGTCCAACTATGAGATGAGTGGAACAATGTTGTTTAATAGCGACTGCATCGATCGTTACCAAATCAGTTTGGCTACTACTAGGATATAGTTTGGACACGCGCACATACGTACGCACGCACGCACACGCACGCACACACACACGCACACACGCACGCACGCACGCACGCACGCACGCACGCACGCACGCACACGCACAAGCACAAACGCTATATGATATACGTGCTCTGATACAAGTCACAATTGCAGTCCAAGAATAACATGCTTCACTTGTTGGATTTTACTTTCAAATAATAGCATGCATATATGGATCATAACCCAAACGTTTCGTTTGTCTACTTAGTGAACCGTTATAAGGAATTGAATATCACAACTTTCATTTCAAAGTGCTTTGTTTTGCCAGTGTAAAAGGTTGCAGCATCTTCGATTCCATAGTTAGTAATGTTGTTCGAAAACATCTCATATATTGCTTCTCCCTAGAGTCCCAACTGTACAATATCCTAGAGAAACTCAGACTTGTATTTTCTATTGCATTTTACTGATTAGAAGGGTATATATTGGTATTTCTATTCGTTAATGTGACAACACAAAACTGCAGTACGAACGGAGGAAATCTGGTTTTATTATACACATATATGTTAATGCATCCCTGTAGTAACAGCTGTTTTAAACGCCGCAAACATATTTTTGGACTAGCTGGCTGGCTGTGCACGTATTGAAACTCTGCTGCTGTGATGCCTGCCTATGAGTATATAGTACGGCTAGTGGGCCCTCTCCAAATAGCAGCCAGTCCCGGGCCACTTAGCTAACAAGCTACAGCTTTGGTACAGCATGGCTTCACTGGGGGGCAGTACTATAGTAGTGTTTGTGACTATAGTCGGTGTAACTTACTCACAACTCAGAAATGCGAGGGATTACGACAATGGAAGCTTATAAAAACGAAGATAGAATCTTGTCACACGCTGAGAATGATAATTGAGTGCAATAAGTACGGAATAATAACGATATATATATATATGTATATAATATCGTCTTGTGCAAATGGCATGCGTCTAATAAAAACATCATTGATGGGCAAATATTTGTTGATCAATTAAACAAAATAAGAATCCGCTCCGCATACGACAACACGCATCTAGCCGATGTACAGTACTAAAGATAAGTGTCTTGCCAATACAGACGTCAGTAGGGATGTACTGGTAAACACTCAGGGTGAGATGCATGTACCGGCTGTCTACACTGTAGACATGCATGCATGCCTTCTATAATACGCGTCTGGTATGTCTGACACATAAACTCACGCAGCGAAAGCATGCTCCCCCCCCCGCAAGCACGCATATACTTCGTCTAGGGCTTACTCTCACAGTAGCATGATGTATACACTAAGTTTCTGTAGATGGGGCAGATTCAGAAGGGGTACAGGGGCCAGGACTCAGGGCCGTAGGCTGAGCAAATTCCTAGGGGGGGGGCAAAATTTCATGACTCAACTCTTTAATGATGAGCGACGGGCGTAGCTCTTGATCGACGCCCATAGTGTGGTAGGGGTGGGTCTGAGACAAAGCTTTCACGGAAAAGTGACCAAAAAAATCACGCTGGGACCATCTACCCTATTATCACTTCTGACGCCAAAACATTGTTTCAGTGGAAATAGAATAAAGTATAGTTCAAAATATAAATTTAAGAATGTATAGCCCGAATACATCGGATTGCTATTGTATTTCTGCTAAGCAAAATCAACGAAGGACACTCATGGCCAACCTCCCTCCGCCCTGCATTCATCAGACATTTTTCCTCCAGATTATCTAGACACTATTGTATAATGTAATACAATACTAGTTCATGGCGTTGCTTTACAAAATATGTCAACTGTCCTTTAAAGATTTATCAAATGAACCAGAAAGTAATAATGGAAGAGGAGGTTAGAGTTAGACATCTCGTCGAAACGATTATATGCTGACTAATCTTTCAAATTTACGGACGTCATTGGCTTCGTCTGTTGCTTTTTTTGTTGACATCTCTCCAAAACTTACGGGTGAGTGACCTGAACGACGTTCAAGGCAGCGTCTATCTGACACACACACAATCTATGGGGTTTGATGACGCTGCGTTAGAGCCATACTATACATGCACACACATGGCATCTTAGAATGGGGAGGAGATGTAGTAGTAGTAGTAGCAGCAGCAGCAGCGCCAGCAGAAGCAGCAGGAGCAGTAGCAGCAGCAACAGCATATAAGACTAGCAATCGGATTCATCTGTCCCTGCGACACATAAAGCATGTTGAAGCACAACGTAGGGTACTGCATGATAAGGTATGGCATGTTTTTTGTTTCATAATTCGATTTTGTTAATCGTTCGATTCGTTTAATGTTTTGTTCAATTTATATATGGGCTAAAATCACATATGCATGTTTAAATGTTACCTTTGATATTTTTTCTTTAAATTCGATTCACATCGAAGACATTCATATTAGCAGATCGCATTATTTAATCACGCGAATCTAATGGCTTGATTGACTGGATCGAAAGCTTCAATTCACGCATCGAATGTTTCGATTCACGGATCGAATGCTTCGATTCACTGATCTTATGCTTCAATTCACGGATCGAATGCTACGATTCACGGATCGAATGCTTCGATTCACGGATCGAATGCTTCGATTCACGGATCGAATGATTCGATTCACGGATCGAATGCTTCGATTCACGGATCGAATAATGCGATTCAGAGTCACATGGTTCGATGCGGTGCGTGCAGGAGGGATATACATAATACAGGATCGAATGGTTCGATTCGCAGATCGAATGATTCGATTCCAAAATCGACCGATTCTATTCCATAATTGAATGGTTTGATTCCAAAACCGAATGGTTTGATGCCAAGATCGAATAGGTTGATTCTTCTTTTTGATATAAAATCAAATAATGTAAACATTTCAAACAGTAAATGCCTAATACAATCGGATTAACAGGCAGGTATCAAATGATGCAATTATACTTTTGACCGGGAATTATTGTCGATGTATTGCATATAACATATGATTAAATAATCAAATATTATATGCGATAAATCAAATGTTATATCCAATAAATCAAATGTTATATGTGATAAATCGAATGTTATATGTGATAAATCGAATGTTAT